CTCGGTTCAAATTGCTTGTCTTTTAACATCTGTATATGCTTTTCTCCACATATGCACAGCTGGCCCGCAATCTAGAAATGAGCCTGCTTTAAATGTAGACAATCTAATGATTCTGGTTCAAATCTAAGGATTCATATGCAACAGTTCTAACAATTATTGCTGTCTTATGTTTACAACAGCTCTGTTGCTCTAGGAAGTTCTTAGGACCAATCAGCTTATTAACCATGAAGCACAGAAAATTTAGATCTTAGCTTCCACATCAGTGAGATCCCAAAAGATTTTCTTTGGCCATGTATTTTTTCCTATTCTACAAATTTTAAACAATATCCTTAATTTTATCATTGCTTGCTACTTTTTACCGATTATTCTGTGGGTCTTCAGATTGACAATATCCTTAATTTTATCATTGCTTGCTCCTTTTTACCGATTATTCTATGGGTCTTCAGATTGTGTGATCACATAGTGTTTGTTAATGGAAGAATTATTTGCTAGCATACATGTAGTCATTGCCCTGTGGTGGTTGTACTCTTTACCTGTATGTGTGAGCTGAACAAAAATTTTCCCTAGCCTTGGGCTAGTTACCTCTGTGCAGTAACATGAAGAGAGTCTCTACTTGGGTTTGATTCATAACTTTAAAAAGCACACTATATTCTGGGGAAAGTGTCTCAAAACATTCCACTATCTGCATGAAGTACAGCAGATAGTACTGCAACTTTATTTTTTTAAAGCCATGTACCTTCTCTTTACCTAAAACTCTGCTTTAGAGAGTGAACAGAGCTTAGTTCTTAGTGTGGATCACAAAGCATAGAGATTAACAACATGAAAAATTGGGCTTTTTATACAGTGTTTTGCATTGTCAGACTGCACATACAATAATATGAAGATTAAAAGCTGATGTGTTAGTGAAAAGTGTTCCTTGGGATTAGTTATGATTGAGTTACAATACTTGGGTTATGTGGTTTCATCTCTGTTCTAATATGTAAATGTGTAATTGAACACAACACATATACCCACTATGACAGTGGGCACAATGAGAAATCTTCAGTCAGTATCTTCTGGTTAAAACACAACAGATGTTCAAAGATTCTATTATTTTTCTTATAGGAAAAGGAGTATTGTTAACTAGCACACCCTGATCATTTAAATTCTTATCAGTGATCTTGCACATCTAAAATCCTTTTAATCAATTTCTCCTCTGATAACATTTATACTCTTCAGCAAGGGAGAAATTGGTTTATCATGTACATTTGACAGCACTGTATATACATGTTTGATTCACAGGCAGTTTTCATCTTTCAGTTTATCTGCACCTCCTATAACTGCAACTGTCACCATCTTTCAGATTAATGTCTCTTTCCAATAGGATAGTATCCTTTGGCGTTTCAACTTAACATTATTAATGCTACAGATTTGTTTCAACTTGACTTAGTATGTAATAGTCTGACTATTTATCTTCCACTGTAGGCAGTGTTGCTTTGTTGGTCCTAGAATATTAGACACACAAGGTAGATGAGGTAACATCTTTTATTGGATCAACTTCTGTTGTTGAGAGAGACAAGCTTTTGAGCTACACGGTACTCTTCAGGCCTGAAGCAAGCTTAAAAGCTTCTCTCTTGCTCCAACAGAAGTTGGTCCAAAAAAAGGTTGGTTAGTTAGAAGTTGGTCCAATTAAAAGTTACTTTATCCTGTTGGCTTTCAACTAATGTGAGAATCTATTTAAAATATTGACGCTACATCCACTGTTGGCTGAACACTATGTGGCCATCCTGATGTTGATATCTGTGTCATGCTGAACAGAAACAAAAGAATCTGTAACCTAATCATCACTTTTCCAAAATCTTGTGTTGTATTACAGAGTAACTACCTCCACTGGGCATCCACATGATTCCCATCATCTCAGTAGCCGGATACTTGTGTATAGCAATTGTAACATACTTTCCAAGGTGCTAGATTTTTCTGCTGGTGTTTGGATATTCTCAGCAGACATTTTAATTGTAGAAGTATCTCTTAAACAATTTTCATGTGATTGGAACACTTCAATCTCCAGTTTTAGTTCAGTGCTATTAGAAAATCCATGTGCTGTGGAGCCATAGATATATCCATGATAAAGGAAATGGAAAATGCTGGTGGGAAGTAGAAAATAATAGAAGTCCTCCCTTTCCAGGGAAGGAAAATAGAGGTTCCACCAACTGTGTGGGTTTTTTTGTTTTTGTTTTGTTTTTTCAAGCTGTGGAGTGTTGGCAAGGGGAAGTTCTTCTCTTTCAGAAACTAGTGAAGTTGCGGAAAACTTCCTTTTTCCAGACCTCTACTGACCAGAGGTGGACAGTCATCCAAGCCAAGTCCTGGATCTTCTTGGCAGTAATCTCCACATAACCTTTCCATCCTACCAAAGTATCTGGGGATGTGTTCTGACCTGGATACTTCCTCATTCATCCTTGGCATTGATCTCTGTTGAGTAGGTGCTTGATTGACTTCTTGCCATGGGCTTAGCAAAATAGCATTCATGTTGAGGGCTGAATAAATAAATGGCTGCTAATAAGATTGCCTCTGCTGAAGTCTTAAGCAGATAATTTGGTAGCATCTATGCAAGGGAGTTCATTTTAGACATTTAAAATTGAGTTTTAAGCAATTGAACCAATGTTTGCAGATGTTAAGGCCTCCCAGAGGACCTAAATAGAGGATATCAAAGCTTCTCACTAAAATGTGCTAGAGACAACATTGTGTTTGTTTAGTCTGACTATTAAAAAAGAAGTTAGAATCTTGTAGGTCTCAAAATTGTGACAGTTATAATAGTTGCTCACTTGGATAAGGAAATACTGCGAGGCTTGTAAAAATATAAAATTATCACAGTAACTTTTTTCAAATTTGAGTACACTGACTTCTAAACATCTCTAAGAATGATATGCAGTGGTGTAGCTGTTGTCAGTTGTAGAGTCAAAGGTTGCATCTACACAGCACCCTTCTGTTGGCTGTGTGCAAGAGCGGTATCCTGAAATAGTACCGTACCCTTAGAGACAAGGTGGTGAGGTAGCACTTTTTTATTGGATCAGCTTCCGTTGGTGAAAAAAGCTTTTGAGCTTACACAAAGTTATTTTTCAGTTCACAAATGATAGAGTAGTTTACATGTTACTCTGTGAAATTGTAAAAATGAGATGAGAAACAGCATCATTCTAGAGTGAGAAAGCATTTGAAAGTGAAGTTCTGCTCTGCAAAGTGACTGTTTAAAACTGGTACCTTCCTACATTTAGGGCAGTGTTTCTCAGCCTTTTTTTTTTTTTTTTAAATATAAAGTACCCCGTAAAAAAAATTCCTAGAGTTTTCAGACACACATTATTTTTTTCTACCATTGCAACACATTTGTTTAAACCAACTTAATCATAGCTGGGTGAGCGATGACATTTTTGGATGTAAAAAGTACAAAAATAATAAAGCGCTGTAAAACTTAAAACAAATTCCGTTTTCTCCAAATTTCAGTTGTTGATGTACTCCCCAGACTTCTATTAAGTACCCCTAAGGGTACTCGTACCACTGGTTGAGACACTGTTTTAGGGCATGTCTTCACTGTGAAATTATTTCAAAATAACTCCCGAAATATCTATTACAAAATAAGCTTATTCTCGGAGGAAAGCAGGAGTATAGATTTCAAATTAACCAGCCCATTATTTCAAAATAACAGGCTTGGTAGTGTGGACACTCTGATTATTATTTCAAAATAAAGGGAGTACGGTGTAAACCAGGGCTCACTGATCTGTTCAGAGTTTATTTCTTTAGCCCTGCAGTGCCGTTCCCACTCCTTGCCCTTGAGAGGGATGCAGTTTTCTCCTGGATCTAAACAGATTTTTTAAGCATCAATTATTGGGCCTAGGTTTACCCTCAATTACCCACCAACCCCATTGAACACACAATTGTTGGACAAGTGAAAAGTGATGCTCAAGACTTGAAAGCTTGATCCAACATCTGCTAAATGGAGAACTGCCTGCTAACCAGTGGAGATACATAGGGCACAAGTGGAAGGGGAACAATATCCTTGCAATCAGTACCCCCATAGAGAGGCTCGATGCTCCTACCACCTTTGCTTGTATTTTAACTAGAAGATTTGTCCTACGACTTTGTAAGGGGGGGGGTGTAGCTCTTGTAGTAAGAGTCCTTGACACTTGGAAGTGCCTCTCTCCAGTTATGGAAGCAAAAGATTTCTGAATCTCAGCCCTGGAACTGATCAGTGGTCTATTTCCCACTGCTAGTTGTTGCTCAAGCTACCAGCCGCACTGGAGCTCTCCTGGCTTTGAAGGTTATTTTTACAACCAAAGTGTGCTAGAAAGTTGGTGGCTCTGCAGCAGGTTGCTCCTCTCCCCAAGAGTGCATCTTCTAAGCCCTAATGGGGACTTTTCATGAGAGACATATGAGAGAGGTGTTTGGAAACAGATGCAGAAGACTGGTTGATTTTTTTTTTCTTCCCCCTCTCAAGACTGAGTTTGAAGTGATGGTAATTGCAAGAAAAATGTTTTGTAAAATTGAGTACATCTGATAGGAAGTCCTTGAGACACAGTAAATATGTAACCCTGCAATGCAATTTTTAGTCACTTTTCAAAGTAGAACCATACTTTGAATTAAAAACATTCAGGGACATGAATAAAGACTTTCTAAACAGCTCCTTCTTAACTTGGAAAATTGGAAACAGATGCAGAAGACTCAAATTTCATACTATATCTTATAATTTACTTTCTACTAACTCAGCCGTAAGAATAAGAAATCAAATAGGTACTAAAAACCTGATCTAAGTGTGTTGATCTGTCTTTATTTGGAGGCTTCAAAATCTGGACTGGATTCTGTTCTAATGGATTATTAGATGTGGTCATTTTAGTATTGTTTCTTGATTTGATGTTTGAGTCTGGGAATTTGGAGCATTATTGATTTGACCTCTTTTAAATTTCAACAGCTTCCCAAGAGACAGAGTGAGTTAGTAAGGAATGCAAAATATGTAAGTAATACATTTTACTAGCTAAATAGTTTAGGCAAATTTTTTTTCCCTTGTATCTTCTTACCAGAATAAGGAAGGTTGGACTGTCTTTGCTTTTGGGGGCTCTTCTTTCTCTCTCTTCCCCGTTCCTCACCTTCTCCAAACTGTGGGCACAACAGCTGTATTCTCTCCTTCCTGTAGAAGGTGTGCATTCTACGGGCTGGCTGATACTTTTGATGAGATTTCTGTTTATTTTCCTGTAATATGTAGCAGGCTTGGGGATTTTGAGAGCAGGGAGAATAATATATCTAACGCTGAAACTGGTGAGCATGTAGATGCTATATAGCTTTGTTCTTTGTAATAGATATTCCAGCTAATGCATCGTGTGTTAGGAAGTATCACTATTTTGATGTTCCTGTCTTGCAAAAGTTAATTTGGCAGCTTGGTGATGGATTTTATAGTCTTTGAGCACGTTACAAAGATTGAGCAGTACAAGTACAAATAAACAGATTGTCTAGAATTCTTATTCTACCTGCACAGGAGTGTGTGCCATTCTGGAAAGCCTGCCCCAATTGAGTAACAAAAGGTTTTGTGTCTTAGACCCTTCGCAGATGTTACAGTCGAGTGAAGGAACATGGCGTTGGAAAAAGGAAAAGCAGCTACACATTTGAACAGTTGGAGCAGGTGTTTGGTCAGGGAGGATGGGACTCCCAACCCTGCCAGCCTGTGCTCATTAATAGTAGTGGCTTGTACCAGGAGCTGGAATCGGATGGCAGTACTATGGAGGAATATTCACAGGAGGATTGGGGGAACCACAGTCAGGATCTTCACTGCTACCAGGGAGGAGACCCAGAATTAGGTAAGAAATTGACCATTGATTCTCCTGTATGTTTTGGTTTTGCCTGTATTTGGATTACTAGAGTGGGTAGGATGGAAGTGCAATCCAGGATCCGCCTCAAACTCAGACACCCTTGCCCTGCCTCCTTCCTGCCCCTTCTCCAAGGCCCTGCCACTGCTCACTCCATCCTCCTTCCCTTCCCATCCTCACTTACTTTTCTGAGACTGGGGACAGAGAGCTGGAGTGCGGGGGAGGGGGATGCGGACTCTGATCTTGGGCTAAAGGATTTGGAGTGTGGGAGGGGTTTGGAGCTGAGCCTGGAGCATCAAGTTGAGGTGCAGGAGGAGGTTCAGAGGACAAGCTCTGGGGGGGGGGGTACAGGGGGGCTCAGGGCTAAGTCAGTGGTTTGGGGTGCAGAAGGGGTTCAGGGCTGGGGCTGGGAATGCAGGTTCCAGCTGGGCACCGCTTACCACAAGTAGCTTCTCGGTGGTGGTGCAGGGGACTAAAGCAGGATTACCCCTACTCTGGACCTGCAGCATTCCCAAAAGCAGCCAACAAACTCTCTCCATCCCCCCCCACCCCGTGGAGATGGTGTACAGGGTGGCTGGAGGGGTACCCTGACGTTAACACACACACCCCCTTCTTGTGCCATGCACAGCAAGCAAGAAACTCCTGAGACTAGGGGGCAGTTCCAAGGCAGAGGACAGGAGCAACATGGCAGTGCTTAGAGGGGCAGATGAAGACCCGGCACCTGACAGTCTCCTGGCCAAATCTGTCAGGATCACCTGTCAAAGGCTCAAAGATCTACCTGTAGATCCCGATCTACTGGTTGGTGACCACTGTCCTAATCAATCCTATGTGTAATGCTGCTAAACCTATTTCTGTATATTTCTTTAGAATTGTCACAAGTCATAGCACTTCTTGGGAAGTTGGGGAAACCAATTCCTATTGTTTGTACAATTGTTTGTCTGAGATGCCTAATTGTCAGGGCTCCCTGAAGCTGTCAGACACTTGTCTATATAACTGTCAGTTGTGGACTGAACTGATCAGCGGCTGCTTTTATTGCCAGCGAACTCTTCATATGTCGATTTTACAGGAGCTCCTTTCTTCCTGGCAAGTTGCTAGTGTGACCCTCTGTTTAAAGTTTGAAATTTGAGCCTCGCTTAAAACGAACTTTAATGGAGGCAGGGATATGAATTGTTGAAGTTGAAGTGGCCTCTGTTGTTGCTGCTCGTGGTCACACAACAAATCTTGCAGGTAGATCTTGGTATAAACTAAAAATTTGTTAGACATAAAAAGGTAGCAAGCCACAGGCCACAGTCACTTTTATGCTGTGCCAGGAAAATTGCTACATTTTTGCCTCTTCTAAACACCCTCTGCCCCAGAACTCCTCATTCTTCCACATGCTCTTGCCCAACCCTGTCATACTTTACAGAAAGATCCACTTTCTTGAAAATATATTTACACTTCACTTCTGAGCAAGTATTTTGTATAGAGATACTTCTTGCCTACAACAAATAGGAAGAAAGAAGGTTTATATGTTTTTGAGTCTATGGAAGCTTACCAAGTGAATCTTTAAAAAATTATTCCCATGGGATTGTAGGAGTGAGGCAATATTTGTAAGGGGCAATGGATAAACGTACATTCTCACTTTTTCTAAGTGACATTGGAAAGGGGGAAGGCCCACAAATGTACCTTCATTTGCACCTCTATATTGAGTGGACTAGCAAATTCTGACTCTCACCAAGAGGAGTAAATGTTGTATTTTTCATATGAAAATAGCAAACTTCTTCAAACTACCTGAAAGTATGAGAACTAAGAATACTACCTCATTTTACAGAGGATCAGAATGTATGGCAGACTTGGGAGAATAAGGCATAACAGGGAGATACTTGAGATCTAGGAGAAGGGGAGGAGAGAAGCTAGCATTGTTTGTTAAACCATGTCTTTAAAAATGTAAATAAATAAAGACTCAGATGGGTAACTGTGTTAGTACGTAACTTACGTGTAGTCTTGTGGCATCCTAGAGACTAACAAATATATAGAATCATGAGCTTTTGTGTGTAAAACCCACTTCATCGGATGAAGTGGATTTTACCCACAAAAGCTCATCATTCTGTATATTTTTGTTAGTCCTGTAGCACCCTAGAGACTATTTGCTTTTTAATAATGAGGACTTTAATCCCTTATTGGGGTTCTGGTGATTTAGGCTTTGCTTTCATGGCTTGTCATCGTTATCTTTCAATAGAATTGCAGCAATATTTACGAGCAGTTGAGGCTGAAAATATTCTTTGTTTACTGAATGGTTATGAGGAACATGCTTAGTACATACAATCTAAATGGAACACAGATAAATTTGTTCTGATTCTTCAAATGTGCTATTGAAAGCAGAATGACTGTTTTCAGAATGTAATTCATAGTAAAATCAACTTGTGACTTAATAGCAGGAATTACTCTTGATCTTGAAAGATCTTGCATGTGTGAAGGTAGGTTCTTTTCCTGTAGCTAAAACTTCAGTCATGGTGACAGCTTACATAGAAGCTAGTTTTAGGAGTGTGAGATCTCAGAAAATTACTGGAAAGCACTAAGTCAAAACTTACTGCTTTTGCAAGTGAAAGCTTTGGAAATATCTCAGGCTATAACTATTTGTTGGAACTTTACTTTTCAGATGAAATGCCTGCCACAAAAAGAACATTAAAGATAAAGCAGGAATCTTCAGAAGAATCACAGTAAGTGACTTATGAATGTTTTACCATCAAATGCATTTCCCTAGGGTGCTGTGCGGGAGGAGGATATTTGAAACTTCTGATTATAATTATAAATACATTGTACAAGACTATTAAAGAATCTGCTTTTTGCATCTTTCCAGTTACCTCAAAACATGTGGAAAGCTTCACAGCTCAAATCTCCGTTGGCTCTGTTATACAGCAAATGAAACAGAACCCTTTACAAGGATGTAAACATTTAAACTCTATAAAATCCATATCGTAACTTTTGGGAATGAGGGTGAGCAGGTTATGCAGTGCTCTGGCAAAAATCCTGACTCTTGGAAACAGATTACAAAGAGATCCATCTGCCTAAAGTTTTGTCCCTTTGCTCATGCAAGGAAAGAGCATTCTAAATGTAGATGTTCATTAAAGTGTAAGAGTATTCCCACTAATGACTAGATCTATAGAAACTTAAAACTAGTACCCAGATATCCATCTAATACCAGCATGACACCGGTGAGTACAGAAAATTATCTTAAAGGGAAAAATCAAGAAAAGGAAGAGAGGGGATTAGCCTCAAATCTTACTTGCCTTATATTTGACTACAGGCAGGTGAAAACATCTAGTATGATGGAAGGATAGGTGAGTTGATTCTGTGCTTGGATAGTATTTTTTTTCTGCAACTTCACAAAGCTAGATTGTAATCTTTTGCTACATTAGTTTAATTTGGCAGATCTTTGCTCTTGCAAAAAGCACAGAAATCCCACTTTTCCCACCGCTTAGATGTGGATGTTTTTTGCTGGAAAATGGGCCAGTGTGGAATAACAGTTTAACTTAATTTTGGGAAAACATTTTTATGAAATGGCGCACTAAGTAATAGCTGCCTTGCATATTTCTCTGTAGCTTTAGGAGGAGGAGGAGTAGTATTGACCTCTACAGTTAAGGGAACACAATGATTTCCATTCCAATACCCTGTTTTCAATCTGGCTTTTTTCAGGCTTTCAGGCTGGGATTCTGCAGAAGTGAACTTCAAATCTGAGTAAAATCATTTTAGCAGATTGTGAGCATAAATCAGAAATTTTCATTTCTTCTTCGAGTGTTTGTTCATGTCAGTTCCGTTCAGAGGGGTGCCCAGTAGCTGGAAGATTTTTAGCCATAGCAATGTCCATTAGGTCAACTTGGGCACCCTGTGGAGTAGCATCTTAATATAGAACCCTGCCAACAAGCCACCTCTGCAGTTCCTTCTTACCACTGGTGAAGGTTAGCTGGGACTTTCCATAGTGCATGTTTCAGCAAGAGGTCCTATCTCCATCACTTGTACATAGTTTGTCTCCAGTTAGTTATTATATAGTGATATTAGTTAGTTATAGAGTTAGTTGGGAGTTTTCCCGGAGCCAGTGTATGCCAGGGGCATGAAAACTAAGAACTGCACCAAGTGCATGTGGAAGAGCCTTTGGTTTAAGGTCACCAGAAAGGATGGCTGTAAAATCTGCCATGAGTTCCGTGTCAGAACCCTTCCAGAAAGGGAATAGTGGCTTAATGTTCTCCTGGAGGCAGCTCTCTGCCCCTACATGGACCTGGGGTCAGGCGGCAGGTGGAGATGTTCTTGACTACTGGCTGATCAAGGACTCAAATGGAGATGCAAGTGTCTTCAGATCAACTGGGCCTTCTGTTAATGAGGGGAGATGAACACTCTCCCTGGCACAGAGGACAGAGTTTGTAGGAGCAGTGCTGGATTCAACACAAGCCCGGGCATTTCTCCTGAAAATGAGATTTCGAGCCTATGGCATCATCATTCGAGGTCTCTGGCAGTCCCCCACCAGCACAGCAAGGAATTGCATGAAACTTGTAGGCCATATGACCACTTGTATCCATATAATATAGCATAGCAGACTCAGCTTTTGATCTTTTCAATCATGATTACCATCAATGTATCAACCAGTCCAGGACAGCTTGGACAAGGTCATAACACTGCCTTGCCTGGTTCTCGACTCCTTCCTGCAGTATGTGCAGGGGTCCCCTTTGCCAGCCCTCTGTCTCGCTAGTAATGTGTGAGTGTAGGGCAAGGGGGTATATTTGGGGGACCTCGGGACACAAGGCCTCTGCTCTCTCTGGACTCATCAGTAAGGGTTCACTTGGTCACCAGCTCTGTCTTCCATCTAGTCACAGAGTTCTGCTTGGGTTTTGCTAACTTTTATGGCCAGCTGTTTGCTTAATGATCTTACCAAGCTATACCTGCATTTCCAACAGTCTGTTCCCACTTTGGACCTCTATCTGGTCCTTTCCAGACTCTCAGGACCATCTGTTTGAGTCGATGGCAATGTACTCCCTGCTTTCTCTCTCATACACGTTAGCGATAACCTCTGCCAAGAGGGTGTCTGAGCTCTGGGTCCTAATATCTGTGCCCCCATACGCTGTGTTCCATGAGGACATGATGAGTGAAGGCCTCACCCAGCTTTTCTCATGAAGATTGTCTCTTTCTTCACATAATAACCGCCATACTGTGTCAGACCAACAGTCCATCCAGCCCAGTATCCTGTCTTCTATCAGTGGCCAATACTAGATGCCTCAGAGGGAGGGAACACAACTGGTAATCTTCACGTGTTCCCTCCCCTTGTCACCCACCTCCAGAGAAACAGAGGCTAATAGCCATTGATGGACCTAACCTCCATGAATCTATCTAGCTCTTTTTTTGAACCCTGTTAAAGTCCTAGCCTTACCATATCCTCTGGCAAAGCGTTCCACAGGTTGACTGTGCGCTGAGAGAAGAAAAACTTTCTTTTGATAGGTAGCAGGTTTAAAACAATCACCTATTAATTGGTGATCCCCAGTTCTTATGTTGTGGGAATCAGTAAATAACTTTTCCTTATTTGCTTTTTCCACACCAGTCATGATTTTATACACGTCTATCTTGTTCCCCTTAGTCTCCTCTTTTCTAAGCTGAAAAGTCCACGTTTTTTTAAATCTCTCTTCATATGGGACCCGTTCCAAACCCCTAATCATTTTTGTTGCCCTTTTCTCAGCCTTTTCCAATGCCAATATATCTTTTCTGAGATGAGGTGACCGTATCTGTACGCAGTATTCAAGATGTGGGCGTACCATGGTTTTATAGAGAGGCATTAAGATATTTTCTGTCTTATTCTCTATCCCTTTTTAATGATTCCTAACATTCTATTTGCATTATTGACTGCCACTGCACACTGAGTGGATGTTTTCAGAGAACTATCCACAGTGCCTCTCTTGATCTCTCTCTTGATTAGTTATAGCTAAATTAGTCCCCATCATAATGTATGTATAGTTGGGATTATTTTTTCCAATGTTCATTACTTTACATGATCAACATTAAATTTAATTTGCCATTTTGTTCCTCAGCCACTTAGTTTGGTGAGAGCTTTTTGAAGCTCTTCGCAGTTTGCTTTAGTCTTAACTATCTTGAGCAGTTTGGTATCATCTGCAAATTTTGCCACCTCACCTCACTCCACATATTCTGTTCAAAGTCGCACTCAAGCAGCGGGAAACAGACTTCAAACACTGGATGTCTGCAGAGTGTTAGCCTTCTGCATGGGAAGAACGAAACCACTCCAAAAGTCTGTCCAGTTATTTGTAACTGGCAGACTGAACGAAAAGTCTGTGTCTCTCCTCTCAACAGATTTTGTCATGGATCACCTCCTATTTATGAGTGCTACAACCTAGCAGAGGTGCCTGCTCCTGCACACTACACCTAAC